CCTGGCGATTCGGGTGGACCAGTCGTTTCAAAAACAAATGGCAAAATTGTGGGCATAACTATAGGTATAAATGGAACAACAGGTGGTCGCGGAATGTTCCTTCCAATTACTCTATTTCTCGATTTTATTCATGACCCAAAGGTATCTCATCACAATGCCCCAATTTTTATTTCAACAACGCAAACAAAATCATTTTTTGCATTAATTTCAGAGCGTGAAACCACTTCCACCTTCGCTCACACCTAACGAAGCTAAATTTATAGCCGATATAACGGTACAGCCAAGTAAGTGTGCATTCGAAATTCGAACTAAATCTTGTCTTTAACGTCACTTTTTTTGAATTTTAAATAGTGGAGAGGCAAAAGTGGGGATTTTTCATGATTCATAAACGTTAATATTCATTCTGAGATGTTTTTCTATTACAGAATTTCTTACTGTTTTCAATTTTGCCGATACCGACGAAAACTTTCAACTCCAATTTAATGCAATCATTTTGTCGGAAACGGAGATTTTGACCTGTGCACATAATGTTCAAGGCGCCCCTTATGTCTATGTCTATGTAACCGTTAATAAACTATTAAGAAATGCGACAAAACTTAAAGTCACTAAAGACCAGATAGAAATTCATGAGAAATACGCATTTCCTGGAATGAAATTTGACATTGCCAAGATTACACTTAAAGAACCGTTGGAGTTCAACGATAACGTCGGCAGCATCGATTTGGTGGACAAAGATTACAAAATGAATGATCCGTCCGAAATGGTCACTGTCTACGGTGATGTGGAATTGGGTGGATCGGTGAGAACGAGGCGTTATGATACAAAGTATTTAGATGGCGCCAAATGCAAACCGAATGTGCACCCCGTATTTGATGCAAATCATTTGATGTGTTACACTTTAGATGAAAGCATGGGAACTCCCGCTGCGTTTGGAGGACCGATGATTTCGAAAAAAAATAACCAACTCGTGGGCATGACCATAAGTCATTTACCTGATCAGCCAGTTATT